CCAACCGGACGACTTGGGCAGATAGCGCATCAACTTTAGCTTCCAGTGCTACAACACGGTTAGCCTGGCCATTAGCTTCCTCCTCAAGATCATCAGTGCGGGTCGAGAGCGTGGCGTTTTCTTTCTGCATGTCTTCGATAGCCTTCGCAAACTCTGCGCGCACACTCAGGACCTCTGACCTTAAATCACCCGCCAAGTCGTCTATTTTCTTGTGTAGTTCACCTGCAGCTGCCATCACAGACGAGTCGATCTTGGCTAGCACATTCTGCTCCGTTTGCTTTATGGCAGCCATGATTGTGTCGAGATCCGGCCCGGCCCCCACCCCCGCGGCCGGATCCGCACCAGGCAAGTCCGAGGCATCAGGCCCCGGCTTCTGCTTGAGCGATTTAGGCATGTTGAACAGCTTTAGACTACAAAATACAACTGATTCGAAAGATTAGGCACTTGTGAGACGGGTTCGCGCCGGGATGTACTAGAAGGAGAGCGGGAAAATTACGCAAATGGTCAATCTAAGCAGAGCTCGCAAAAACACGTCTTCACATGTCGCTGCTCTCGAACCAAACATGTTAATCAACAAAATTGTTAAATAAAAAAAAAAGAAGAGGAAGATAAGATGTTCAGCAAGCACTAGGACGCTTCATGCAGAATGTCTGTTTTACACACTAGCTCCACTACCAGGATCTGAATTGGCAGTTCTTCTAGGCTAAACGCCTTGCTGTCATGTAGACAAACCAAGCTCAGAAAACAGACACTAAAGCCTCTTCATGATTTTATATTTTTTGTATATTTGTATATATCTGTACAAACATTTTTGTCATCTGATGTGTTCATCAGACAGTGAATGTTAGAAAGAAAGCACTCAGGTTTTGTCAATGGATTTTGGGAGGTGTTTTAATAATAAAAATTTAAAAATAAACCTTTAGAGGCTGACTTATCTGTTTTCAAACATCCAGACCTGAACTTTGACAACGGCATTGCCCAGTGGATGAGTGTATGAAAATTCAAATGAGCAGGTGCATTCAGATGGAACAGTCTTTAACCCACCAAAGTCCATCCATTTGCATTTGAGCTAGTCTGCCTCCTACGTGCTGTACCCAGCAGCACCCTCACCTAAACCAAACAGAGTGGTATCTCTGCTGTGTGAGAAAGGGCAACTTCAGGATGATGTCCTGACTTCATTCACCTGACGCTGAGTTTACGTGCCAAAACAACTTATGTTTGATCAGCGACGAAAGCAGGAAATTAAAGTGCCTACAAGCACATATTGATGATCATTAGATCATGCCTATGTCAAAATGTTTTTTAAATAGCTTAGTTCAAGTATCTGATTTCATGTTGCACAATCAAAAGAAAACAGATGGACTCTACTGTTGGAAAAAACTGCAGGGAGAGTAAAACCACTCTGCTGACCCACGTGAGTTAGCTTTCAGCAGGACTGTTTTACACAGTGCTGCTTTAAAGCATCATGACTAACATAGGTATATATAACAAAAACATTTGGTCATAATTCAGTGTTGCGTAGGGTCTGTGTGACAGCGTTTCTTCATCGAAGTCTTCTTTTACTTCAAAAAGAATAAACACGGCTGATGTAGGATATACAGCAGTTTTTAATGAAAACAATTTTTTACAGGAATAAAATAAGAGAAATGTTGCATAATATAATTTGCATATTCACATCATAATAAACAATTTTCGTTAAAAAAAGAAGCTGACAAGGGTTCTCTAAAGCAGGAAGACTGGAATATAAAGGGAGACATCTTTCACATTCATCTCTGAGCGCACTTCAAACATTTCCATTCAAGGTCAACCGTGAAGGATTTGAATGAAGAGGGCTGGCTAAATGTATCGAAGCTGAACCGTGTGCGTCACCAGTTTTTCCTTCCCACTTTCAAACCTGAATGCGCTTTTAAAATATATTTGGCGAAAATTGACAAATAACACATATAACACTCCACCAAACTATGTTTTGTAGTTATCTCAAATATATGAGATGCTTAAAAAGAAAAAGAAGAAGCCCTGTGTGTAGTAGTTTGGGTGAACCGCTCCTTTAAACATTTAATTTACTTCACTGTTTGCATGACATTGATGTTCATGGAAATGGGCTCTTTTGTTGAAAGCAAATAGTCAACATTTATTCCAAGAATGCACACACACTCAAACACAAACACACTCACCATTTAAACAGTGCATCCCAGTTTAATTCATACCAGTGTTGCAACTACAGGCCCCCGAATGTAAAGTCTACCAAGCCTTAAGTGCTGAGAAAAGCAGCATCTGATCAGTTCAATATTGCACCCTGATGACATCATGGGACAGGAAGTTGAGAACAGCTGATTTGATGTAGAAGAGTCAGACAGCCATCATTAACACAGATTTGACACACAAGAACTGAAGTAAGTTACTGAGCTGTGAGATCAGTTACTGCATAGAAAACACACACACACACACACACACACACACACACACACACACACACACACACACACACACAATAAACTGTTTGTTTGTTACTGGAAGACTGAGAGGCTTCAAGTTCTTCAGGAAGAGGCAGGAAGACATTTAAAATACTGACCACTTGAAAACACAGAAAGTTCAATATTGACGATGACGATTTCCAAATGTGAGGGTTACTGACTTTTTCTGCTCGTGTTTCTCTTTCTGATACAGTCTTTTAGCTGTGAGGCCTGGTGTGCTTTTTTCTTGCCATGGCAACAAAAGTATTTACATAAAAACAGCGTAGTGACATTCACACCAATGCTGTAAATGTGCTCGTGTTAGCTATTGATCATTTCTAAATGTGCTAAATTTCTAATTAAGTATATGAAACCAGAGATAACCTCCAAAAACCAAAGAGAAAGAAACCATCCTTTAATAAGCACTACTGTTTCAAGCAGTGAGGGAGGCAGAAGAATATTTGAAACACTAGAAAATCATTGGTCAGGTCTAACAAAGCCAAAGTCAAGAGGCAACTCATGCTGCTGAGAGTTTAAAAAGAAGACTAACACATAGAGTCAGTAGGTGTTAACACCCAATGCAATATGAGGATAGGTTTGAAGCAGTAGAGCCATTGCAGTCCTGGAAGGAGCTCTGGGGCTGTGAGCAGGGCATGCTGGACTTCCTTATGTGTGCTGTGACTAACCTCTTTCCAATCCCAAGCAGCTTTATTGCCTGAGACAAGGAAAAGGATGCATCCTGCAAGCGGTGTCAGCCAGGCTCATGCAGCCTGAGCAACATCTTAACTGGATGTCAAAAAGCGCCGTAGGTGGTGGGATGATAAGGTCCTCACAGACACCACAAACAGACTTCCAGAGGGTCAAAGCTAGTTTTCCACTGTCCTCCACTTCTGACTTCAAGCTTCTGACTGACAGAAAAGAATTCAGACCTCATAAAGAAGCTTAAAGAGGTAGTAGGGATCACACTCTAACCTATCTAGATGTACAAAAACTTCCCATGAACTGCAACAAGCCAGGTTCCAGTGTCTGGTTGTTGAGGCCATTTCCAAAGTATAGTGTGCGTCCTCATTTCTAGACTAAAGTCAGCTGCTGTGGGCAACATCCATGTGGAATTTCCTACAAAAGACTAACTTCAGGGTCAAAGGACTAAAGAAAGCCAATGAGGAGCTACAGCAGCCAAGACTAGCTCAAGAAGGTGAAGCTATGGAAGAGTTCCCAACAAAGCATAGAGGACACAGACAATGCTGCCACCAGGCTATCATGTGAAGGCCACCACATGCTGCGCTTCTGATGTTTACATCACCCAATAACCCTGTAGAAGAAATTAATGTAAAGTTTTAAGAAAATGAGCACATTTATCCAGTAGTAGACCACTTTTACCATTAAAGGATGGGTTCACATTTCCTCAAGTCTACTGTAACACAGAAATCACATGTCTGTGAGGCATTGCTCAGTGTCGTTGATAATGTTGTCCGTACTGGCTGCAAATAAAATATGAACCCATCCTTCAACTCCAAAGTCATTAAGACTGACACCAGTGTTAATCTGACCAATCACATGCTGCCTTTTACCTGAGCGGGCACGTGTTCCTCAGGTAGACCTGTCTGCACAGTATCTGACTGCTTTCCTGTGACATCGCGTTACATCAGAGTATTTGTTATACAGTTTGATGAGGAGACACCATGACATCATTAGTAACATTAACATTTTCTCTGGTTTCCAGTGCAACTGTGAAAACAATAACCTGAAGGTTAAAAGTGCTAAAAGAAGCTATCTGCTAGCAGTACACCAGACTGACAGCCAAAAGTCCTGCTACTGCCCTCTAGAGGCTCCAGTGCTCAGTGTGTTGGACAGAAAAACAAACATATTAAAGCATTAAAAGTTCATCTGGGACCCTGTGAACAGTTTGTGTGATAATGCTTGCTCAAAGGCCCTCTAAAAGGCTTTTTCCCACATCCTTCAACCACGTCTCCTTAAAGCTTCATCACATGACCTGAATGACTGAAACGGAAAATTGAATTAAATTAAACAAAAAAAAATCGATTAATGCTTACATAAATCAGCAAATGCGACAGCACCGTAGCACCCAGACATTACAACAACATAATTTAAATGTAGGAAACATACACAAGATGAAAAGTGTACTTTAAATTGATCATTTTTTCATCGAGCCTCAAAGCTTTGCACCAAAACAAGATAAATAACCACCCCGTCAACAAAGAAAAAAGAAAACATACGAACGTCATTCTGAATGTTGTTCTTCTTTGTTTATCAGGCAGCACAGAAATTCAGCAACAGTTAGTTTAACCTCCTAGGACCTGGCATCCACATATGTGGACATCACATTTTGGCTTATTTAGACCAAAATATTCAATTTTGGTGTACAGGGGCCTGATATCCACTTACGAGGACATTATACTGCCAATGGTCTATCGAAATTTTAAATGAATATCCTCATATGTGGCTCTCATTTTTCTTAGAAACAAAAATCAGGTAAAAAAAAATAAAAATCTGGTAATTCTTTGTTTTTACATTCATCGGGTCCCAATCAGCCCAAATATCAAAGAGAAATTAAAAATGCATGTCGTGGAAGAGTTCGGGTCTTAGGAGGTTAAAGACAGGATTTGACTATTGTTACTCATTAAAACTGAATAAGTAACGAAGCACGTAGAACAAGTTAAAGCCAAAAAAACAGGCCCCTCTGTGTATCACATATTAAGCAAGCCGGGGTAAAGTCGTGTTTTTACTCAAGGTTTTGTGGCCAAAAAAACATTTTAGCTCTTCTGGATGGCATAATTTTCACTTTCCTGTTGTTCTTGGAAGACTGGATAAATATCCTGCGATGCTGGCGTGTATTCACACACTCAGTGGGTTTGACAACACAGATTTTTCTCTGCTCCTAGATCAAGTCTATTTTTATTATCCTGGGTAACAGAGCTGGACTATAAAGAACAAGTGAAAAACACAAAAACACACCTCACCCAAAGCTCTGAGATGTAGCTGGAGGTTCAGAAAACAGCCAAGAAGTGGACCTTTGAGTGATGATGAAAAAAGGTAATATGAAGGCCAAAGAAAGCTTTAAAAGCTAATGGGTTCATCGTGCACCTTGAGATAACCATCCCTGGACCAGAGTGCTAAATGGACCAAAAGTCTTAATTTAAGCAGTTATTGAAAAATCAAGAAAAAGCTTTAGGTAAATATATACAACACACAATGTAAAATAAATAATTAGAGCACAAAAATAACCAGAGAAGCATTAATTAAAGCTGTAGGTAAAAGTTTGTTTTATCGATTGAGAGTCCGTGAGCTTATTTGCAGGTTGTGGAAAGTTCTAGTAATGTTTTAAAACGTCTCTCCAACTCTTCAGCTTTCAGAAAAGTTCTGCTCAGATGCTTCAAACTCCAGAAAGTTCAGTGACAACAGGAAGGTTCAATAAAACAAAAGAATCAGACAGAAGGCCCTTTTCTCCATCCAGAGTCCAAAATCATTTTTCAACAGGCAGCGGAGACAGGTGGACAGGACACGGGGACACTAGTCACACATTAGTCACACAGAAAGCAGAAAACAGTCGGAGACAATGATGAGCAAAACCTTTGGATAACCATTAACGGTTATGTGACAATGTTGATCTGAGAAGCTGTCTGGTTTAAACTGCTTTTCATGTTTCCACTAAAGAATATATCTGCTTTAGTGCAACTTGGTGAAGCTGTAGCCGCCACTGAGGACACAGAGCAGGATGTGCTGTAGTGCTGTGTCAGGTCATGTCACCAGTTGCAGATGTTTTATACTTTTTAAGGATTTTAAAGCTGATTTTAGTATTTACGTAGCTCACGTGTATCAAAATGTAATTGTTTTGGGACAAAAAACAGAAACATTTTACAAATTGAATTGCATACTTGCCTGGCAGTTTGGATGCAGGGAGATATTAGAACTGAACAACAGGTGAATAAAAAGCTATTTTATTTATTTCTGCTCTTTTTTAAGGAGAAAAGTGAAATTTTTGGTCAAGTTTTTATACATCAGTAACCAAATAATAAGGTTTTAATGACATCACCAAACAGATCAGTAGGTCAAACACTCGCAGAGGCTGAAAACAGGCCGCCTGTTCAACCAAACAGTTCACACCACCGTGTCCCCACTAATAAATAAAACCATGTAGGTTTTATTGTAAACCATGTAGGTTTCGGAGCTGCACAACAGGACGTCTAACTGTTTTTAGAGTGTTTCATGTGATTTGTTGACAATAAGTACAAAATGCTGTGTACTCCATCCAACTTTTTTTTTTACTTTCTTCAGGAATTATGTATATGTGAAACACGAGAGTAGCGTCTGAGTGAGGGCACGCTGACAGCTGCAGTAGTGTTAGGTCACGATAGACGACGTCTGCTGAGTTTCTGACGTCTTATTTGTGCTGCTAAGCTCCTCGAGCAGGTGATAGAACAGCTCCTCCAATCCTCTTCAAACTCTGAGGGAGAACCCGAGCTGGGATCTCGAGCAAAATGTTCCCATCAGCTTTAGTGTCTGGCCTCATCAAAACGTCCAAACTTCCTCAAAACCTACCCCCCAAAAAATCAGTAACAGCACTGTTACCTGTGTTGGTAAGAGTTTGGGAGCAGGTTCTGGGTTGTCTTTAGATTCAGTGTCTTGTCAGCTCTGACAAATCAAAATACATTAAAAGCCTATTTTTTTGGCCAATGCAGGCTGCTAAAAACGGATATTTGTTCTCGACTTGGCTTTCTCTAAGGTGGGCCCTGTGTTTTAGATTTTGCAGGTCTCTACGGTCACTTAGTGCTTTCTAAACAATGTTGAGCAACTTCAGTATTTTTTGGTTTCCAGGAACTTCACATGTCTCAATGAAAGAACTCTTTTGTTATTTTTTATTCTGTTTTTTCGTTCATCCAGGTTCAGGTTATTTAAACGTACATCCCCTCTTCTGGTCGGCAAGAGGCAGTTCACAGTTCACAACTTTCTTAGTGGGGAGGTTGCAGGTTTGAATCCCTGCAGTCTTAATGCGATGTCTCCCATGTCCCCGTAGTGGCAACAAAAAGCATGTCAAAGTTCGCTGGTATGACTTCCCGCTTCTGCTGGCATCAGTACGGCGTGAAGAGAATCGATCCTTGGCTCGCTCTGATTGGTCCAGGTGCTGGACGGAGGAAGGAGGCTGTGAAAAGGGGGGAAGAGGCCGGAGGGCGAGGGTGGATAGAGATCGCAGGTGTGAGGGGGGAGGACGTGGGTGTGAGGAGGGGGGAAGAGGACAGAGAGGATGGAGGGAGTGATAGAGAGGGGGTGAGCGGAGTAGATGGTGGAGCAAAAGGAGTGGAGAGGAATGAAGGTGAGAGCGCAGGCTTCACCAGCTCCTTCTGAGCAAACATGGAGAAGAGAGGAGGAGAGGAAACAAAGAGACATCGATGAAAAAAAACAGAATGAAGACAAAAGTAAATAATAATACTTAATTAGAGGAAGGGAGGTAAAGAGACACTCACAGTGAGTGAGCCGCGCTGCTGTTTGTTGTAAGGACTGTACTTGGGTTTGCTGGGTTTTCCTGCCACTCTGTCCTTGTGCCTCCTGCTGGAGATGTGCTGCAACAACAACAAACACTGTCACAGTGAAAGCAAATCTGAGGGCAGACAAGACCAACAGCAACCGAGACTATAAACTGCACAAGAACAGAAGAACCTGAATGAAATTAAGGATCAAGATTTCACAATGATTCACAAACTAAAAGCAACCAAGTATGTAGTTCACTAGTGTAAGTTCATTTGTCATTTCAGGTAAAGAGTTGTTAAACACATTAGTCGGATAATGTACAGCAAAAGGCCTTTCCAGGGGTTAAAAACCAAAATAAAATGAATAAACATTAATTTTCCAGTTGTAACTGTGAGAAGACTGTTTTTACTTTAAACTTTAAACATAAACTGAAACTACATTAAAGGTACAGTATGTGAAATCTCACCACTAGGGTGTGCAGCTTAGAGTCAGTTGAGTTCGACTTTCTTATCCCTCACAATTTAAGTGCATTATCCTAGCTACGGTGGCCACTGCATGACAAAACTCTGGCCACAGTTCATCTGTAGTGAGTGTAGGCTGTCAGTCCACTGTTTACCTCAGATGTCAATATGTGTCTATTTACTCTGCAGGACGCTGTAAAACCTTGTGAAAGGAGTCCAATATGACGACGATCACTTCTGTGACAGCAATGCTGAGGTGAATTGCTGGTTTTACTGAACCTTAGTATTGTGTAGCAAATATTTGAGTGTATATGAACAGTCTGACAATCCTGTAGCTGCCTTCCTTTAGATATTTGTGAACCTGCTGCGAGTTTCTACCTGTTTAAGCTGGATCTCAGAGTTGACATGGACATCACAGATCTGGCAGTGGAAGGTTTTGTTCTGCAGGCCGGAGCCCTTCAGTCCCGAGCTGCTGCCGTTCTTCAGCTTTGCTCCAGGCCGAGGGTAGGCTTTGATCGGCCCAGCGCCACTACGAGCCTCCAGCATTGTTTTATGTTTTGATCCTGAAAGCAAAGGAAAACAAACTCAGGAAACACGAAAGGTAAAAATATCTTTAAATATGGGTCTGTTGTTTTAATTCCATCAAAATAAAACCTGTACACATCGTCTGCTTTTACACTGATCTTTATCTTCATGGTTACAAAAGCTTTCTATAAAAATCAACCAGAAAAGACTTGCCGAGGATAAATATTCATGTGTGATTATCATAATGTGGAAACAGAAGTGCAGAAACTCTGCTGAAAGCTCTCCCTGTTGATGTATTCCAGGATTTCCACAAATCCTTTTGGCCATATTGGATTATGAACAAGTTTAATAAGTTTAAGGCTTGTGTGTGTTTCATGCATGAAGCACAGCATTTGTTTTTTGAATATCTTTTAATGTCACAGGAGTAAAAGTAGATACCAAAGATCTCCAAGCAGGGGCAGCACAGAGCCGCTGAGGGAGATTAAGGGACACCTTCCTTCCACCTTTCAGTGTCATTAATCCAAATTCTCCTCTTTCTAAATGTGTTTATAGCTATATAGCTAAATGTATATACCCTGGTATGTTTCTGTGAGGAAGTAAAATAACTACCAGCAATTGAAATGTCCACCTAATTTATAGATTCAGAGATATGAAGAGTGAAAAAAACAGCATATGTTCGAGTGAGCTTCCCGCAGCTTTCAAAAGAAAACTTGGTTTTATGTGAATCTCTTTTGGGGGTTTTTGGGTCCGACTTAAAGTAAACACAGGACAAGGCCTCGTGGGAACTGCATTTGTAATCTCCATCCAGGAAAATTCTCCGGTTGACTTAATCACTTGATTGCTGGTATTTACAGATGGTAACATTAGTTGAAGCGCTATGCTGAGATGCACAACAGACATATTTTGTATTATTTTAGTTTAATCACCTGATGCTTACTCTATTTTAGCACTGTAAATAAGAAGCACAACCGCTCAGCCGATATTGTAGTTGGACCTGTCCTCACTGATTTACAGCCATGGTAAAAAGACACTCTGTCAATTCAAGGGTTTCACATATCAGGAGATAATAAACATGAGCTGACACTTGGCAGGTCTTGAAATTAGGTAAATAAAACCACAGATGAGTTACAACATGTCACATGTTACACAATATCAACATTTATTTAACAAAAACGAAGCCGAAATGCAAACAAAGTCAAAAATATGTCCATCTTTAATACTTCCACGGGAATTAAGACGATGAGTAACAAAATGCTCAGGAGGAAAGAGATTACCATCAGGGACTATCAGCCCATCAATCCGGGAAGAACTATAAGGATATTTACCAAACAATGTGAAATCTCCCATCGTACGCTGAGAGATTTTATTCAGGATTGGGCATTCCAGCAAATCCAGCCCAAGGTCAGACTGTGCAATGCTCAAAGAAACCAAGAGCCAAGAGACTCTACAGGCCACTTTTGTACATATTTCCTGTACTGTGCTAAAGATGAATCAATCCTTCTGTCCTTTAACTTCAATTTAAATTTCAGCAACTTAACATTCACCAGAACCGACAATTTTCATACATTCAATATTTTGTAAATGAAGGTGTAACAAAGAACTAGATGCCACAGAAGCTTTTGTTTTTGCATGCTAATGCTAATGCATATCATATAAAATCAAAGGTGCATATCTCTCCTCACCTGCATTATGCGCCTCCAGCTGAGAGAGCGAGTTGACCGCGACTTTACAAAGAGAACAATACAGCAGCTTTTTTGCCTTCTCCTCTTCTGACTCCACTGAAGGTGAAGCATCCTGGGAGGGTGCAGGTGGAAGGGGAGCAGGGCAAGACAAGGTAGTGACAGGAGCGGGAGCGGAAGCGGAAGACACTTTGGAAGAAGAGGATGACGAAGAGGAAGAGAGGCCTGGAGCTGGGAGTCCCGATGGGGGGCTGGATGGAGGAGGCTCACTGCCTGCTCTACTAGAAGAGGGGGAGGAGGAAGAGAGAGGGGAGGTAGAGGGGAGGAGGAAAGATTTGACAGGAGACGGAGTGTCTGCGGTTCTGGATAAGAAATCTGAAGGGAGAAGAGTGGAAGGAAAATGAAACAATATCTGAAAAAAACATCAGCAGTAACATAATTCACATCAGTGTTATTACTGGATAAAAATGAACCTGTGTGTTGATTAGTGCTGCTGTTAGCTGAGACAAGAGGGACGGGGACAGCTGAGACAAGAGGGGCGGGGCCAGCAGGATTACAGACGCTCCCATTGGTTTCTGCAGAATTTGACAGCTTAGCCTTGGCTTTGTTCTCCTGAGACTTGAGCTTCTTTGCGTGACGACTTCCTCTGTAATGAGCCTCAGCCTGAGACTGAGATGTAGAAATAGAAAAGTTTAAGTTTTGTATTTGAGCCATTCAGCATCCTCCAAAATAAAACCGATGTGAAAGGGCCAGAGACTGCAGTCAGTGACTGGAAAAGCCACTTCAGAGCAGCTATAACAATGAACCCTGTACATTGCTTTATAAGGTGCTCACCTTACAGAAGACATAAACATGTTTACAGCATACAAAAAGTTTGGTCTCTATGGCTAATCTCCCTTTAGTAATTCAGGGTAGTTGTTGAACCATAGAAGGCATAGAAAAGCATGCTAGCAAAGCTGCAGCAGCACAGCAGCTCTGGAGCTGCAGGCATTCATGCACGCTATAGGACACCTGTGTTTTGGAAAAGCTCAGAGCACAATCGCTGGAATTACACACATCAAAACAAGGACAATAGGCTTGAAGCATGAAAATACATTTATGTTTTATTTACAGACCTACATATAGCACACATTAAATCCAGGCCTCTGGGCCACCTGTGTACACAGCCGGACTGATTAAAACAGGACTTTACATATAATGTTAAATGCACAGGAGATGGACCTGAGGCCACTTTTGGGCTGGCGATGCGTGAAAAATGTGCAGCCCCCTCGTTCTCTGAATAAAGCCGGAGCATCTGTGCAGCAGGAAGGTTAACAAGAAATTGCCATAGCTATTTTTTTCATCATGCTCAGCTTTTCCCAACAGTGAAACATCATCCAGTAACGTGGCGTTTTGGCCAATCAGATGAATGCGAGTCCTCGTTTTCTGGGTATTCACACTGCAACAGGAAGGGTAATGTTTCTTTCCAGGCCTAGAGAGACTGCAATTTCCTTCTTCCAGAGTCCCATGGAGGGAGCATCCATACTCTTCCAACATAGCGCAATGGCTCTTCTGGCTTGAAGTAGTCCATAGTCCAGTAATTTGGTTTTTTTCCCGATTGCTTAAATTCCCTTGGATATATTCCAAGTACATAGAGTTTTCCTTTTAAAGGGATTTTTACCTTAAACACTTCAGACAGATATTTGATAACATCTTTCCAAAAGTCCTGGATTTTAGGACACTCCCATAGACAATGAAGAAGAGTCCCTTTTTCAACTAAACATTTAGTACAGATGTCCGGAATATCATTGGACACATGATGAAGCTTGACAGGTGTTATATAGGTTCTCATGAGCCATTTATATTGCAGTAGTTTAAAGCGTGTGTTTATTGTTTGTTTTTGTGCTTTTAAGCAAGCCTGGTTCCAGTCATTTTCATCTATGTCCTCTTGGATCTCCCTTCTCCAAGCATCCAGTTTATCTGCTGCTGAGTCTTTTGAGGAAAGCATCAGTAAATTATAACATATAGAGAGAAAACCTTTCCCTTTTGTATTCTTAATGCATGCCTCCTCTATTTTTGTCAGTGGTGGAAGTTCAGCAATCCTTTGCAGTTTTGATGACAAATAGTTTTTCAATTGTAAATATTGAAAAAAGTGCTTTGGGGGTATTAAATATTTTTTACACAACTGATCAAATGTGAGCAGCATGCCATCTGCATATAGGTCTTTAATTTTTTGAATGCCTTTATTTTTCCATATTTTAAATCCTCCATCACTTTTACCTGGCGTGAACTTTTCATTTCCCCAAATAGGGGTAAATTGCGAAAGCGATGGAGGATCGCCCACATATTTATGAGCTGCATGCCAAATTATAATTGTATTTTTCAAGAAAGGGTTCCTTGTATTTTTTTCTTAATGTCTTAGTGTCTGAAGAATATAGAAAAGTGTGTAAGGGAAGATCTGGAACAGATTTTTGCTCGATGTCAACCCAGGCTGGAGGTGTTGTTGGGCAGCCATATAATACCATCTGAGGTTGGGGACTTGGAGACCTCCTCTTTCATAGGGCAAGTAAAGTAGTTGTAAGCGGAGCCTTGCCTTCTTATTATTCCAAATAAATTGGTTAAATAGTTTGTTTAAACTGTCAAAAAATGAAGTTGGTAGAGGCAACGGAAGTGTTTGGAAGTATTATAAAAATTTGGGTAAAATTGTCATTTTTAGGATATTTATCCAGCCTATCATAGATACAGGCAGGTTTGTCCAGCGGTTTAGCATTTCCGTGACCTCTTCTACAAGGGGATCATAATTTATTGAGGTTATGTCCTTGATGCTTGGGGCGATCCTAATGCCTAAATATTTAAAGCCTGTTGTAGTTGTTTTAAATGGGGTGGCCACCACAGGGCTTCTTCTTTCTTCTTCATTAAGAAACATTAATTCTGATTTAGAATTTTTAATTTTGTTTCCTGAAAATTCTCCAAATGTTTTTATTAATGTTACTAAATTAGGGTTACTATCTTTCAGATTAGTCAAAAAATATATATAATATCATCTGCAAATAAAGAAATTAGATGGTCTCTTCCTCCAATTCTTATCCCTGATATTCCTGCATTTGCTCTCACAGCTATGGCCAGAGGTTCTATTGCTAACACAAAGAGAATTGGTGACAGAGGGCAGCCCTGCCTGGTTGATCGCTGTAAATTAAAGGGTTTTGATACGTTATTGTTAGTTAAAACTTGTGCTGTTGGATGTGTATACAATAATCGGATCCATTTCAGGAATGTTTCACCTAGTCCATATCTGGGGAGCACTTGTAAGAGATAATTCCATTCTATTCTATCGAAGGCTTTGCACGCATCTAGTGATAGCAGCGCAGTGTCCTCCCTATTGTTTTTCTCATAAAGTACATTGAGGACACGTCTTATATTATGATAGCCTTGTTGATCGTCTGTTATCAAATTAGGCACATATTTATCTAGTCTTCTAGAGAGTGCTTTACACAAAATCTTCGTATCACATCCCATAAGACTAATTCCCCTATAAGAGGTCACGCTCCTCTCTTACTTCTCTGAGCCGTGATTCCTGTTTTCATGTTCACTCATGAATAATTTCACCAGCTCATGAATAAGTGATGTTTGACTGGCATGTTCCTAATGAGGCAGCTCGTTCCCGCACAGCAGTCGTCTGTGAATGGGCAGAGTGTCGTTTACGCAGATCTGTGTCATTAGGGTGTGGAAGGGGAGGTGTTACACCTGAGCTTACGCACCTGTTCTTTTCCAGGAGCACCTCACAAAATTATACAAAAAAAAAGAAAAGAAAAGACTTCATCTCTCTAGTGGTAGGACCCTCCTTTTCAGCAAGACTAACTATAAACTACTTGAGAATAAACTTTCATCCACAGTAACGCCAGTGAAAATTTAAAAGTCAGACAATAAACGGCAGTTTTTTGTTATTGTTCATTTTCAGGATCAGATCCCATAAAAACGCAGGACTGAAATGCGGTCGTTAACAGCAAGCTCAGATTAGCTTGCATGGCAAATGTTAATTTTAGATGTGCTGAATTATATTTATGATTGGAAAACTAATTCAGTTACACAGGCTTTAGGTGCTAATGAGCAAACATTTCTAAGATACAGTGCTAACATTTTCTAGCAAACGTGTAAATGTATTAATAAGCAAACACTTCATTTATATTTATATCTTGTATATCGACCAGAAACAAAACACACACACACACACACACACACACACACACACACACACACACTTACATCAGAGTTGAACCTCAACTGGCAGACAGTACAGGAGATGACCTGTTTCCTTTTAGGTACCATGGTAACACCAAAGGTGTGGTTGATGACAGCCTTCTGCACCGGGTCCATCTGAGTGAGACACACAGAGGTCAGAGGTCACGAGCTTGTTTCAACCCGAGTACTGATGACACCATGAAAGATTTTTTTGTTCGATCTATTTGACCTGCAGCTATGACACACGCTCACCTGTCGCTACCACACACACCTACCGTGTTGAAGTTTGGGAAAAGTCCAACTGGTGACGTTGTCTCAACAGGAAACGGCAGAAAGGGTTTCATCATGACTGAGGGACCAGTGGCACCTATGAGACCTGGCAACGCTCCGCCCACTGCACCACTCCCACTTCCTGGGAACAGACACGGAGTTTAAATAATTGATTTCTAATACCTTTGTTTTCACACACTTCAAACAAACAGCAACAACACAAAGGTTTGCAGGGCAGAGTTTCTGCTTTAAGGATGAAGCTGAAACTTATATTGACCCAAATTTCACTTCAGAGTTGCTACAGTCACACCACAATGCGAAAATAAGGATATACTTATATTTTTCCATACTGAAAACATCTAGAAATGAATCCAGAAAAAAACCCTGGTTGACTCGTATTCACGCTACATAAAACGGGTGAGCCATTTTATGATGTTATGGATTTAGTTTGGTCCCTTTTGGCTAAAAATATTGGCCATTATTGAGTTTTAATAATGATTCCTCAGCTGTTTTGTCATTAGTCTGTTGACACTTTATGAAGGTGAAATTAAATTACATTTATTAATACATTTAAGAACTTTTATCCAAAAATTTGTTGAATAATGATTTCATAAATAGCCTTTTGTCAAATTAACCGTCTGTAAGGATCAGGAAATATATCTAAAGCTGTGCCTGTTAAAGAGAAAGACACACTTCTTGGCATATTCTCTGAAGAGCAAACAAAAGGAGCTCATCTTTGATATCTCTGGAGTTACGACCTGGAAACCTGAGCAGCAGATCTGCTTAACAGTACCTAACATATGGATACAGAACATATGGAGCTGCAGCTGCTCGGGGCAGAGAGAGGCAATTATACAGAAAGACAAAGCGAAGAGAGGGCGAACGATTGGCTCACATAATGAGTCCACGTGTCCAGCTGCCACTCGGCCAGAAAGATGTGTAAACTTTCAAAAGGCAGGAAGTACACTAACCGAGCTCACGCAGAATCCAAGCTGACCACATCACACTATACACAACTATTACAAAACATTTCTTCAACAAACAAAACTTGAGTACTCTAAATCTGCCATGAATTATTAGCAGTGGATTATTTGGAGGGCGGTTACATGTGAGCAATTTTAGGAAAACAGTTGAAGATGTTTGAATCCACCTGCTGCTGCTAGTTCATGCTAGTTACCTGATGCAAGCATATTATTCTGTGTATGTTTAAAGTTACAGCATGTCAAAGCCCTGCAGTGAAATCTTTTGTAACAACAGTGTGTGGGTGGAAACACTGATGCCATCTGAATCAGGCCTGATGAAGGAGGGGGAGGTGGTGGAAGAAGAGGAGTAGGAGGAGGTTTCTGGTCATGTTGGTTTAGTGCATATGTCCAGTGTAATGTAATGAAGGTAAACCTGATTATATCCCATTTTAAATAACAGTCTGGCCAACTCTTTATGACTTCTAATGCATCCATGTGAGTACTATAACCCATTTACATCCACTCTACATGAACTCTAATTGTACCATTATAAAAGATTAGAAATAAAATATAGAAATACAACTCTACTTTAAGACCTATTATAATCTATTCTGATGAGCTGTAACTGACTGTGATCCACAACACATTAAACCAGTCACAATGTATTAATCTTATTCAGAACAAACCAACAAAAAATTCACTATAGCTCCACCCAGACTTTAAATACTGTGTGTGTGTGTGTGTGTGTGTGTGTGTGTGTGTGTGTGTGTGTGTGTGTGTGTGTGTGTAACATTAGGCTAGCTGTAGAAGAGCTGTGTGCCAGGCTGCTGACTCTCTAAGTTTATCCTCATATAGCAGCACTGTGAGTCAGTGTCTGTATTTATAACTACAGCTGATTATTAAGTTCAGAACAACATGAGACGGTGTTGTAATCGAATGTGAAGGTGGGCAGATACGGCTCAGATCACGATCTGGATCCGGGGGGTTATTTATGATAGTAAATACACATTAGTGTCTATTTTTAAATGTGGCCTATTGTGTCAGCTTGGTGGATCGGTTACAAAAAAGAAGTCCTGCAGACCGTCATTACTACAACAACCAAAATATTTGTTAACCTACTGCGTCATACTGGAGCTCCTTCAGATGCGCCGCTATAATGCCTTCAGAGCTTGTTTAAGCACCACTGAGACCACCTTGGTGATAAGTTCAGCCAATTTAAAAAGCCTATTAACATGTAATAAAGCCACAATGTTAAGGTTACCTAAAAATCACTCAGGAGAACCACTGGAGCCTCTTCAAACACTACCGATGCCACGTGAAAAAATGCTTGAGAAACTTTTTTTTTTAAAGACAAAAACAAGCTGAACCACAGAAGCCACTTCAAGAAAGCCTAAGCATTCTTCCTCCTCAACCTCAACCAGCAGCTTTCTCTTTTCAGTGATCTCATTAGCATTAAACTCTATTTTTACTTGATTTTTTGTTTTTTTGAGGTGTGACATCTCCTGAATTCTGGGACAATAGAGATCTTGCAGTCCTCTAGTCATATTAAAGAAATGGTGAAACTCCCTAAAGGACAACAGAAACCTCTTTATGACCTCCCTGAAACTACTCAAGGATGGCTTAACCTTCTTCAAGGACCCTTTTGACATCCTGGAGGACTTTTTGAGGACCCTTTAAGCCTTTACAAATCCTGTATCTTAAGCTGGCTGACTATTTTGCTAGCCTTAATGTTTCCTGATGCAAATATATGTTGGCTTTATGTTGTGACTGTACCTGCTGAATTCAATTACTTGTTAGCCTCTGGTGTAGACCACTCGTGATAGGTATGAATTGAAGATATTTTTCAGTATGTGTGAGTATGATGAACAGAGTGTTGAGAGAGTGGTCTTAATTCTGTCCTTCTGTCCTCTGAGATCTGGTTACAACACACACACAGTAACCCTTCTCCCTTACACTAAGTTGCTGTTCTAAGAAGCTGCTAAAAATACTGATCTAAACATCTGCTACTGCACTCCCATGGAAACACTTGATAAACCAGCATGAAAACTGGCCAACAGCAAACTAATGAGCCAGTCAGCTTTATTTCAGGCTGTTGGTGATTTGTCAAAAGATCCCCGAGATGCGGTACTAGCTGTAAACAAACACGCAAAAAGTTTTCTTACAAGATTCTTTAAATAAACTATTTCCATTCGCAGCGTGCAACTTTGCAAAGTGGGACAAGCAACAAAAAGCTGACAAGTTGAGACGCTTCAAACTGGAGCTGGCAGGTTTGCACCTGTCTCATAATAACACTGACCAATTTAGACTGGCGCCTAATATAAAATTGACTGATGGAAAGTCACTTAGTCACTTAGTCTGACACTGAAATTGTAACCAGAGAAATCATGAGATAAAGAGAAATAGAAATCTATGAGGGAATTTTGTAACATTTCTGCCCCTGTGACCAAAACGTCCAATCAACAGTTGAACTGGGGAACATTGGAGCCAATCGTGTTGCTGCACTGATGCATGTGCACAGCAAAGGTTCAGAACTGTTTCAACTCTGTGGTGGCAGGATAGATATGCTCCCTGTGGTGGTTAGATATGCTTGCCATTTGCAGCAAAGACATTGTTTTTCTTGGCTGACCATATTCAGAATTTAAATTAGCACGGCATTTGTTGAACGCTTCAGCCATAAAGATGGACCGTGTTGGCACTGAGAACTGAGCTTCAAATTAAGTCATAATGTCTTGTAGCTGTGTATATGATATCTTGCAATGTTTTCTAACCTGATTTGGCTGGCGTCTCAGTAGATGCAACTTTTATGTCCCAGTAAATACGAAAATTAAAGATATGATTCTCTGGCCTTTAAAAATAACTACCCAAATAACGCCCCAGAGGTGTGACCAAAATGGCTGTCAAATGGCAAATACTGAATTGCCAAGACTTACACAGAAGACTTACCACCTACCACTTTGGAATGACCTAAAACTGGAACCTAACTAAGCAAATTAGAGTAGTCTAACACTAGAACTGGATCTGAGTGGATTAAACCAGTAAAAGTGGAATTGCCCAGTTTGGTTGGATACTTGAACCTACCAGCTAAATCCACTCCAGAAAGCACTCAAAGGTCATCTGCGCTTCTTGGTGAAATAGACTGTGATTTCTTGTAGGTATAGATGGAGAGCTAATTAATAACACTCAAGTCAGCCAGGGATACAGAGTGGGTCTCAATCACAAACAGCGTATATGCATATGTGTGTGTTCATGCATATAAGCTTTTGATGAAAACTAGTTGGTCTTATAAAATGTAAACACACCTCTTCAAACTTCTATGACTACTACAAATAGTAATAATGGTGGGAGGAAGAAAAAGAAGAAGAAAACGTGAGCAATGTGAGAAAAAAAGTAGTCTGTTACTCTATTTTTAATCTCAACTTTGATATCAAAATTCTTCTTTTTCTTCACTCGAGACACAATGAATGTCTCAGGTTAAACAATAATTAACAGTTATTTATTAATTTTATTCACAGTCTTGAGAAAACAGACGGCGTGCAGCTCATAATCTGTTGCTGCTGTTTCGTTTTCTTGAGCTGCTTTATCAGCTTTGAACTTCCCTCCTTTCTTCTCTACACCTTCAGCTACATGCCAGCTAGCTAGGTAGCAATTCTAGTGTCAAACTCTCTGCAAAGTGAGAAACAAAAGGAAGAAACAGCTCCAGTAAATCCATACTTACAGAGTATTATTGGCTTGAGGCCAAAGGACTCTGTGAATAATAAAATTGTAACTAAGCTAACAGGAAAGTCAGGAAGCTGAAACCACCCACACACTTCTGAAAGAAGCTGTTGTCATCAAAAATAAATCAAATATTCTGTGTGGGTACACTATGATTGGAGGGTGCTAGTGAGCTATGGTAGCTTCTTCTGTTCCACTCAAAGTTTAGAAATGTGCAGATCGCTCGTTATAGGTCAAAGGTGTACATTCAGGAATTCTCTTATCTTCTAATTAGAGCAATAGCACTGAAGTTACAAAATTCCTGCCTTAAATTCCTGTAGAAATCACACCATGTCAGAGCTCCAAACATTTTAAATGATCAAAGCGTCTCTCCTGGCGTGTCCTTTGCTGACATCAGCAGCTGCTGAGATTAAGCTGCCTATAAACTGATTCTGATCCTTTATTCATTTGTAGCATCCAGCTTCCT